GGTAATACGAGATGTTATCATACCCCAGTAGCCAACACAAGGTGCTGTATTTCACACTGGTAATATGAGATGTTATAATACCCCAGTAGCTAACACAAGGTGCTGTATTTCACACTGGTAATACGAGATGTTATCATACCCCAGTAGCCAACACAAGGTGCTGTATTTCACAGTGGTAATACAAGATGTTACCATACCCCAGTAACCAACACAAGGTGCTGTATTTCACACTGGTAATATGAGATGTTACCATCCCCCAGTAGCTAACACAAGGTGCTGTATTTCACACTAGTAATACGAGATGTTATCATACCCCAGTAGCCAACGCAAGGTGCTGTATTTCACCCTGGTAATACGAGATGTTATCATACCCCAGTAGCCAACACAAGGTGCTGTATTGCACACTGGTATTACGAGATGTTATGGTACCCCAGTAGCCAACACAAGGTGCTGTATTTCACAGTGGTAATACAAGATGTTACCATACCCCAGTAGCCAACACAAGGTGCTGTATTTCACACTGGTATTACGAGATGTTATGGTACCCCAGTAGCCACAATTCCACTATGGCTGGAACTCATTGTTTGTTACCCACTGATCAAAATCAACAAATGGAAACTTTAATGGATTCCGAACATTTTATTGTCATTTTATTCTGTTGTGATGAGATGTTATTCTTTTGTCCTCAATTTGTCATTCTGTATGCCATGTTGTTTGGATCGGGATTTCAGGAAGAACATATCATTTGAATCGGGTGCAGATGATGAGCAATTTGCAAAAAAAAATAAACATTTATACAAAGAACAATTGTAGCTCCTTAAAAGAGTCAATGCTACACATAATGTGTTCATCTTATTTCTCAGATTATACTCGTTTATTGCGCAAAGGATATATTTCACTCAAGCTAAAGTTTTAACAAAATGAGGTTAGGTAAGTTATCATTTCAATTGAAGAAATCGTTTGAGATGGATGGGTATGTTTACTTTTAAAGATTCTTTTCAATCTATTGATAGATCAGTTACTTCAGAGTTACTGGTTTTCCAAAGATGATTTAGTTAAAGTACAACACAATGTTATACATAAAAGGTATCAACAAATGTTCATTTTCCAAGTTTTTTTGTAACATTAAACATGAATGAAATGCTGGGCCAATATGAATGAATCTTCAGTGTAGTATCAGATGTCGCTGACAGTGACAGCCATACAAACTTGGACAATGGGAAGGGCAATATCAAGATGGTTGTCCCCTCATCCTCACAGATAATCGTGATCCAGTATATTGGGTTACAGGGGTATGAATACAACACGCCCGCGCCTGTAATTGCCCTACTCAGCCGTAACCTTGGAGATGGCTTCGGGTAGGTCCATCCTAGGGCCACATGTTAATGCCACACAGCGGGTGACAGATGAAACCATCCTGTGGCCATTATGGCGCAGTGAAATTACTTTCTGTCATTGATATGGGTATGTTCACACAAGCAGAAACTTCAAAACACCTTTCGCAGGTATGAAGTCAACATCATATTGTCAATACATCAGGGGGTAGCGGTTCTTTAGTATTTGTATCAAAACTCATGCGTACAGACCAAACATGATCACTCTTATAACTCAAAGCGTGGTCCCTTTAAGTTTTCACAGGGATATCATCCACTTTTGCCTTATCTTATGAAATAAAAGTTAAAGAAAATTCGTACACATGTTTACATCTTTGTAAGGGAATGGACTTGACACAGATAGTAAAGATATAAAATGTCAAGAAAATGTGTTTTTTAAGTTCTAATATCACACCAATAAAAGCGATTTTTTATGTTAGATCTGTGTACCGTAATTACATGTTTAATCATTGGCTTTCTGTGTAAAAATTTCATCTTTGAGGTGAAGTCCCTTCTTTATACATACATGTTAATTATACACTGATCAAATTTCAGTGAATTACATCTTCTGTGACATTTCTATTTCAATGGCGGCTGTCGTCTGCTCTTATTACCTATGGCAGCTCTAGATCTATACCAGGCACTGTCTAGGGGATATTGCTTTATCAATTTGAATAAATTGTGATGACATGTTTTAAGTAATTTTGAAAATAGGACAAAAATCAGTTCAGCTGCGTTTAACCCTTTCACCGATGTTTCGGGACCATATTGCATGTGCACACGTCAACAAGTTGATTATTTTCATGAATAGATATGAACTCTTGCAAGAAACTAATCAAATAAATGCCATGTTATACAAATCTGAATTATATTTGAAGCAGTATTGACGCACATACTTGGGCAATTGGTTTAGAATGTTTCTGTTAAACCTTTCTTTGAGAAGAAACAATAGAATCTTTTCTTTACACGGTTTTAAATAATATTTATGTCTCTTTATGATATCATGTTTTGTTCAAAATAAGGAACATAAGTGTTGATCTGGAAGTCCAAAGGAACATGAGGATTGGTTGTTATTAGGTGTGATCTCATGCCTATATCTGCAGACTTCATTTCGATTTATATGAAGGCAAAAAGATACCACTTCAATCAATATATTACAATCTATTTATAGAATTATAGGATTGGCCAACTTTCCAAATGCCTGCTGGATCACAATGTAGGAGGGTTTCTGACTAGAAATTCTTTCAAAATGTAATCACTATACCTTAATTTACTAAACTTTCCATTACTTGTTATAAATATGATTGGTAATCTCACACAAGTCTAATTCTGGAAGAAACCTACAGAAAGATGAATCCCTTTGTCTTAAAGGTATCTGATGTGGGCCCTTACTCATGAAACCGTCCTCATGCTCAAGCATAGATTTTGTGCTGAAGCCAAATTTCTTGTTTGGTTTTAAATTAACCAGGTAATAAAAAAAACCTTCTTTTGTCAGTGATTTGGGGAAAAATGGAAGAAACCTAAAGCCTAATATGTTTTTCAATGTTTACAATTATATTGTTTTGTTTGACATGATTTAAGTGAGTTACAAGACAGATGTGTGGAGCACAAAATCCATGCTTGAGCATGAGAATGGTTTCATGAATAAGGGCCCTGGTCCTAACTTTTAACATTCTGTTTTTTCCTATTTCAAATAAACATTGCTAAGGACAAGAAAATTTGAATGATTTAAAGCGGATGAAAACGGTTTGATATATATCCATTTGTACTTGTGTTCTCCAGGTGTTGTTAAACAACACTGTTGTTAGAAACACAAAACCAAGGAATTTGATGGCATGACTGTCACTTTCTGGCGACCACGACAAACCGATCACATGTTTTAAAGGAACATTAGCAGGTCAAAACTGACAAATTTTAAAAGTTGTATTCTTTTAGATTTTACTTGTAGAAAATACATCATAATTCAGACAGATATTTTAGTTGTTATGGAAGTGTTTAAAGCCTACCGTCTGTGGGTAGAAACAATTGTGGACAAAATTGGTGAAGTATCTTATATTTTATACTATATGTTGCAGTTCTATCTTAATTAAACCCTTGTCTAGAGGAAAAATTGCTGTGTGTTTGAAAACTGATCAGTAAATAAAGAAATTGTTAGTGGTGGGGGACTATGGATTGCTTTGCAATGCGCTGCCTTAGTTAGCCTTATAAACAGCTTATATATATATATACAGTTCTGGTTTATATAGGAGCGCGGTCATAAGTTAACCTTTGGCTTTACAGTTCTAGTTTATATGGGAGCCGTGGTCATAAGTTAACCTTTGGCTTTACAGTTCTAGTTTATTTGGGAGCGGCGGTCATAAGTTAACCTTTGGCTTTACGGTTCTAGTTTATATGGGAGCGGCGGTCATAAGTTAACCTTTGGCTTTACGGTTCTAGTTTATATGGGAGCGGCGGTCATAAGTTAACCTTTGGCTTTACGGTTCTAGTTTATATGGGAGCGGCGGTCATAAGTTAACCTTTGGCTTTACGGTTCTAGTTTATATGGGAGCGGCGGTCATAAGTTAACCTTTGGCTTTACAGTTCTAGTTTATATGGGAGCGGCGGTCATAAGTTAACATTTGGCTTTACAGTTCTGTTTTTTTTTTATGAAAGTAGCCGGTGAACTATCCGTAGTTAAGGAGGGTATTTTACCTGCTACTGGCTACAAATGAATGCCCTGATAGAACAGTTTTGTTAGGGGTTTTATTTTCCTGATTACAGCCCTTTAATATGATTGACATATCCACAGTCATGGTATCCTCACTTGTTTGGTCTTTAAGTAACAAAATGTCTATTGTCAGGCAAACATTTTCCTCCTCACCGATTTTATGACAGTATATGTTTCATCAAGGATTTTTTTTGATTTATGATATACCAGGTACAATTATGTGTTCAAATGTGTATCTTTGTCAAGTTTATATAAATATGTAATATTTATATCCAGTCCAATGAAGTTGTGTTTTCTGCAGTGGAATGAACATTTTGATGTAAATCATTTAAAAGTTTGTATTGAAATCTCTGTGCTTGATATCTTTTTACATAGTATAACGTTGATCTAATTATGGAGCGAAGCAATTTTGTCGTTCATTTTGAAATATCTTTTAATACAGAATGTTGCCATTTGCTGCTTTTGCAGTGTTTTGAAATTGTCATTTTGTCATCACAGTTAATGAAAGAAAAATATTTACTTTTTCAAGAAACAGACTTTGATGATATTACCAAGCATTACACTGCCTTATTAAAATGGCTTATAATGATTTTATGGTTAACTAGCGGGGGTATAAAGTTATATAGCAAACAAAACAATTAATTGTGTAGCCATTTGTTTGATCCATTTGAGCCTGTATTATGTTTAGGTTGGAATACACAGGAAAAAGATTTTCGTATTTTTGTTTTTGTACATCGTCACATTTTATCATTCATTATGATTTGTAACGGTTATATTTGCATTTCTGGTCTTTGTTGTTTGTTTTGACTAAGCAAATAGTCTTTTAAAGATGTATTTCAACAAAGATAATTTATTATTTAGAAAAAAAATATTTTCATATATTAAATATTTATAACTAAATTCATTCTTTATCATTACAGTTGATTGGCTGCTACGATTACAAGGAGAGGACAAAGATCCGCGCAGCCATAAAGGAACTCCAGAACCCAGGAAACAGTGGAATCAAGACATACTCCTTCAGCCAAAAATACAAACGTAAATCCGGGTCAAGTTCCTCACCATTAGGCTCTCCACTCCTCTTGCCAAAATCTCCACTCTTATCGCCAAAAGATTTCTCATCCCGACATTTCCAGGATGGACTCGCTGTTCCATCCAAGTCATATATAAAATCTCCTGTTGGTAAAGGTGATGTCACAAAGAAGGAGAGGAAAAAATCATGGAAGGAAGCGTTGAAAGACGTCATTGAACGTCAGACGAAGCGGAATTCAATCAGGAAAGAGAGGATGTCAAGCAGCTCTTCAGACGGTGGAGGAATAAAAGGAGCAGATAATGTTTTTGTGTCCAGTCCTGTGGATAAAACTTTTAAGAGTTACTTATTTGCTGGAAATATAAACTCTCACAAAGGGGAGGGAGATCTGTTGCACAGCGAAAGTAATTTGCGGAAAAAATTTCGTCTGAAATCTGACGGCTCAGATTCGGAGACTGACAAACAGGATGCGAGTCGTACAGCCAGTGTGTACAGCAGTAGATGGTCTCGCCTGAAATCAGAAGAGGCTCACACAAATTCCAGCCCAAGGAATTTACAGATATCTGGTAAAAGTCTGCAGGAGACAAATTCGGCTCCAAACAGGAAAATGAGACTCAAGTCTGACGGAACACCACCAAGTTCTCCTCCACACAAAGTGAAGGTAGCATATCACACATCTGATGACAATTTTTCGGAGGTGTCATATTCAAGCCAAGCAACGTCCTGTAAAAGTGTGGATTCTGGGTATAGCTCAGTGTCAGACAGGTCAATTTCTCAGAGAGACAGTCGTGAACATCAGTCTGATGACAAGATGCCTGCAGGGAGTTACAAGGCAAGGATAGCTCGGTACAGATCGCAGGACACTGGGCGAGAAGAACCAACTAAATATGTGAGTAAGACAATATGGCGGTCATCTCTACAGGAAGGCAGTGATGACTCTGTGTGTAAGAGGGAGGCAGGTCCTTCCGATCGTGTCAGCAAAAAGCCACCTCCATCTCAGAGAAAAATATCTCGTATCAAATCTGATGAAAACTTATTGGATGAACCAAGAGAAATGAGGAAAACTTCAAGTTTACAAAATGGTGAAATGTCCTCCAGTGCAGATGTCCGTGTTTCTCCGACTGAACGGAAAATGATGCGTGTGAAATCGGACAGCAACTTGTTGAACTGTCACCTGACCACTCGAACAGTGAATCGAGCATCATTGTTGGATCAAGAACGTGATCAAACACCATCGTTCTCAAGGCTTGAGGATAAAACAACAAGGATCACAGACACAAGGTATGGATTCTCACGTATTCCACGAGACAAAGAGAACAAGGACACTGAGAATGGTTACAAAGACACTGGTGATACAAAGGTCAAGGTCAGAGACTCCAGTCCATCTGGTCTGAGTTTAAAACTTGACCGGTCAATATCAACTCCGGACGATGGACAACCAGACAGTCCTGCACGTCTTAGACTCCAGGAAAGGATGCGGCGGCGAGTTTCTGAATCAGACGCTTCACGAGCTATTGAGGCATTATCCTCCATTTTCATTGATGTGGATAGAAATTTCGAATCTACAATGGAGGTGGAGGCAGTGGTAGTAAATCTGCAAGACCAGGTAAGTAACACTGTATTATTGGTGAAACTAAACAAACTTGGTTGTAGATAGAACATTATGACATTTAAACTTACCCTTACCCACAAGATAACTTCCCTAAATATTGATTGGATTTCAATTAAACTCGGTTACCTAATATTTATTGCAAAGATGGAATCCAGCAGTGAGGATGAGCAAAATCTATTCCATTTTTAAGAGAGTTATGACCCCTTTCATGTTATGTTAGAGAATGCCTTGGGGAGAGTGAGAGCAGTGTATCATAATAAGGTCACTGGGACCTAGTTTGTATGCACCTACTGTTGACAAATGTATCCTTCATCCCTCTGTTTATTTAATACTTTGTTAAATTGTGATAATAAATACCGTTGGATTTGTATGAAGCTAGCAACTGAATTATGTCAAGATTTAGGCCAAGTTTGCTTAACATGTTTATTTTTGTTAATTTCTTGGTTACCTGATAAATTTCCATGCTTTAACTCAAATCTGCTGTATCGTGGTAGTGACCTTAGGGCTAACAATGTTATAACTTCATACCCAGACTTGCCAACCCTTGCCTGAGTTGTAGAGAACTCCTGACAATCACGTGTTTGCCTATAGACATTTAAACACTTAGGTCACCTTGTTATTGTAGTTTTACTCAGATAGTTTGATTTACGTAATCTAAACAAGTCCACAGATTAAATCCGTTTAAATATTTAAAGAATGGAATCAATTTTCAAACAATTACTTCATTGTTGAATTATTGTGCCTAAATGTCTGCAGTATATTTATTAATCAACCGGAAAGAAATAATTTAGAAAGTTTACATCTATTACTGCCCTTTCTTAACTGAAAACAGAATACCATAGTTTAACTCAGAATAGTGAAAACTAATTATATGATCTACAACTTGTTGTATCGAAGTCAGGTGACATTTTACTGCTGTTTTATTGTGTCTATGTACAAACTACAGCTACAGGGGAAACTTGGTAATGTGTTATCTGAATTAATGGTCCAGTCATCTTACTTATTAGCTTTGTGTTAATTGTGGTGAGAATTATTTTAAAAACTACCTTGCATACTAATTCAGAGATAGATGAAAAGTGTGAATGGGCGTCCGTTTCCTTACTTACTTAAAGTGTTAGATATCTTTTCTATTTGGACTTAGGATTTAATAAATTGTCCTTCAGTATCAGGTGAGAAAATGCTCTAAATGTCCATTTCAATTTTATAACATGTATTACAAACTGGATAATATTTATAATATATTCAACATTCATTAAAACATGTGTGAAGTGAGCCCTAAGTTGATCAGGTTGCTGTTGTACCTGTATATCACGTATTGGTAAGGGTGGTAGAATCTCACAGATCTAGTTCAGTGTATCACTAGGTCAGATTGTTGATATCAAGGTCAGATTATTGATTATATATTTTCAAGGTCATTGATTTTCATTTCTGCATGTCAAGGTAAATATTTGTATTTATTTTACGTCTGTCCTGTTTGTTTCTCAGCTGAAACTGAGCACAGACTTCTCAGAGAGGAGGAAGATACGAGCTGGGATACGGAGGCTGAGAGAGAAAAAACAAGGTAGGTAACTCATGTGTTATCATGCTATATCTTCATGGGCTTGATCTGCAAATGATAAACAATTCTAGTACTCAGTGTCTTCTCATGAAAAAGACGTAAAATAAACAAAACAATCCCTCCACAATGATTTGTTTGTATGTGGTTTATCTCTTGCGTGCATGCTGTTTAGCTGTCTGATGGGGCAGCTGGGAGCTGTCCTGGTATACAGTAAAATCTTCACACATTGAACTTTGCGTGATACATTTGTACCTTTTGTTACATGTTTCCACCCTTCTCATCAAATTTTATAGTCCTATTTTCCCTTTTTTTTTTAAAACAATTCCTTTATTCATCTGTCTCAATATGTCACCAAACATTTGTATGGGGTACAAATGGTGGCAGTATAACAAGATTGTAATACTGTATTGTACTGGAGGTCTGTTTGATGTACCTATCTAAATGTACTAGAACTGATACTTTACTGGTGTGATGACATCTTTACCTGAAAGTTTATTCCTATTGACACACCTGGAGTCTATTTCACACTCAAAAGATCTCCCTAGGTTCAGGATAACAGGAAACAGTTTTAACAATTATACGTGAAACTGACTGAATCAGGTTAAAAAGTACCCCATGAAGTGCGTCGATATACCATCATAACTTTACATGAATAATGTTTCCCATGAATTGTATCTGATGGGAGGGTACAAAGTGTATCACAAACAGATGCTAAGGCTACAGAAATATCCGGTTTCTCCAATAATGTAAGTTTTGTGTGGAGTAACTTGAAATATTTGGCCTCTCATTTCCGAATAACCTTCACAACACTGATATATACAGTTACCGTATCACTTTCTCAACAGGTGAAAATATTTCACAGGTGTGGTTAGCTTTTTATGTAAAGGTTCTAAAATAGGAAATCAATGAGAGTTTGACCTGTGGCCGGCCAGTTGCCTATGTGAGGGTGTTGTATAATGCCAGTATTGTGGCGATGCCGATGTTTTCTAAAACTTAATTCATAAACTGGATACAAAATGTTTCCATGTGGAAATAAAAAGAGAACCTGAAATTATTTTCTACTTTAAAATAGTTTAAAACATATAAAAAAAGTCCAATAAAATGAAACAATCATGATGAAATGTATCATAAAAGGGACATTGGGTGTAACCAAGGATTCCTGTTCAGATATTTACACCATTAGTCTCCGTTACCATGGAGACAGGGATGGAGCAATATAAAGAAAGCTGTGTTTATATTCCTGACAACTTGAATATCAATTTATATCAAAGAAAGTTTATGAAGTTGGTGACTTCTTGTTAACCTCTCTAAGTTTCTTTGTCATATGTATTTTGTAGATTATGACATGAGATTAATTAAGAACACTGGGAAAATATGCATCATACGTAATTTACGATAGAGAGACATGTACCTTTGTTAAGCTTAGGTGTGAGGAATCAGTCAGAAATAGTACAAGAGGAAACTCGACAAAAATATTCCCATATCAGTCAACAACATCCCTGAGGAGAAACTATTTCACATTCCATAGAGTCAAAACTTGGAACAATCTTCTGGAGGACATTGTATCCGTTCCAAATATCAATACTTTTAAGAACAGAATACATAAAAGACAGAATGAAGAACTTTATTATAATTATATGGTGTATGTAATTAACAATGAACTTTAACTTTATATTATACAATTGTTTAACTTTTGTGTCCAGTGTAGAGGAGCTCTATCGGCTCCTGTATTTTAAACCAACTTTAACTTTAACAAACGTTACAGGTGTACTAAGTGGATTGACTATTGTTTTTTCCTTTTTTTTCTATCAACCTCAGGATAAACTATTGTTTTTTCCTTTTTTTCTATCAACCTCAGGATAAACTATTGTTTTTTCCTTTTGTCTATCAACCTCAGGATAAACTATTGCAATTATGCCAGTCTTTCAATACATTTATAATACTTTAACACTGTTTTCTCTCTCCAATAAAATGATAGCGTATAGTTTGTAGTTGTATTTTTATTTCAGTCGTGAAGTCAGGTCGGTGAGGTACAACTGACCTGTACTGGCCTACATAGATATGACATATATGTATTATAGAATCATAAATAAGGATTAAAGGTCAGGCTGATTTGCATTTTAAGATGATTTGAGAAAAAATCAAAGAAAAGACTTTCAAAAGACATTTTTTTATGAATATTTCACGGATTAGATATGCTTTAAGTTTTGTATTAACAATGACAGATAAATAAACCCTAAGTCCTATCATACAGAAATTTGCATTAAATGTGTGGCTTAATCTCAGTAGGGGACATTTGCCTACGTGTTTACATTCTTATCCATTACCAATGAAATGATCGCAGATGTTTGTAACCTACACACATTGGTTTCTGTACAATTAATAAACCGTACGCAATCCCCTGTCTAATACAAATTTATTCTGGCTATTTTAGTTTCCTTCAATTTATTCTAACTTTTGTGGTTTAGTGAATATGCTTTCTGCTGTTGTATACCATGTGGTGCAGGTCTCCTATCAACATCTTACAGTTGAGAAACTGGGCATAGCCAGAACTGAAAGGGTGTTTAACATACCTGAAAAACTCAAGTTTACTGAAGATTGTATAGACTTCATGAACTCACGAACCTATACAAAGTGTATCACAGATTTATATGTATGCTTCAGGTACATTTAAAGTAATGGATCTGTTTGAATATATTTCCTTTTGGAAATCTAAACCAGGTCACTGTGTCTTCATTTACATATCGTACTGTTAACCAATAAAAAATTACATCCTCATGAAAAACCAAGGTCAGTGTGTACATCATGTTTATGTATAGGATGTTGAAATAAGTATTATAGAAATTATCAAACCACACATTTTCATTTGATGATATTTACTACATTTGCTGTTGGATAAAATTTGAAAGTCTCTGAAATATTTTGTCTTCCACAGTCTTTGTGTCACATTCTGCTTTGAGCTCCTTATTTGAGCACTGTAGTCATGTTACTATTTCAGTTCAGAAGTAAAAAGTTTAAAGGTGACATTCAAGGTCAATGTCCCCATGGCAACAGTATAACAGATTTGGGTCTTTGTGCTGTTGTAATGCTTTAAGAAAAAAAAGACATTGCTATGATAATTTTCAATACCTTGTAATTTTCTTTTTCATGTCATAAATATTTTGAATGTTTGAAAATGCACTATAAATTGTTATTGCAACAGCTAATCCAAGCCCCTATGAGACCAAGATTTTAACCTGCGTAGCTTAACATTGATTTTAAATGTCCTTGACACTCTGGTCAATTCCTGGTATTGAAAAAACAATCCAATTTTCCCCCACATTCTTCCTTGAAAATTCTTACACAAAACATACAATAAAAGTTAGGTTACAAAGTATTATACAAAAAAAATAAACACTATGTGTATTTACAATTCATCTGATCCTCAAAATCTATAAATGTATTTTACCTAGGATATTGATAGGCCTTACAATTCCTAAATTAGGTCGACTGACCTACATCTGAGCCTTATACTTGATCACCTTGATTTGAGGCGATTCCTTAAGCAATGTCAAGGTCAGTAGTAATATCACTTTCTCCTACACTGATCGGATGTCATACTCACAGCTATATTTACTGCAGCAGAGATCCCAATCATTGCTGCAGTGGTCTCAGTGTCAATAATCAGGAAACAAAATTGTTTGCCACTAATTTGCAATAGCTATGCATATACTTGATAGGACTTTACTCAATTACATAGATTTATTACCGTTCAGTGAACGCTGACAGCAGCTTCTCTGTTACTCATGAAATGCCAAGTTTCGGTTAAGTCATTTGACTTAACGAGAAATTAACGTTCTACCAGGTGTAGAATTTATGGCTGAATAATAAAGTCCTCAAGTCGGTATTTGAGTATAAGTCTGTATTGGAAATGTAAGTATGGTTATTAGTGTTTCATACCAAGGTATGGCACATTATAGCGATAATGGTGATTATCAATCTCAATAACGGTACTTATCCTGATGGGAATGGCCAAGATTCTCACATTTTATGACTTTTAAATGCTTACTGAAACTGTCATCAAACTTAAATTTGATATCAGTGTTTATTCTACACAACCCTAGAATTTCAATTTCATGGATTTTAAACAGATCGGGATAATTTATTTCCTTTTCTACTCAAGGAGATATCCACAAGAGTGAATGGGATTGCTGTTGTCAGTTTTTGGTGAGCCATTAATCTTATCAGATCGATTCTCAATATATATATATCTGTGAGAATATGGGATTTATGTGTATCTGTCTTAGGCTCAAGGTAATGCTTTCAATGTAGGAAATACAGGAAAGATACTATGAAGTACAGGAAATTTGCTTTAAGTTACTAATTGCAGCTGTTTTCAGAACTAATGAAATATGGAATGAGTGTCCAGTTTGAAATCATTGTATCATTTCAGTCATGCAGAACAATATGTATTCACAATTGCAGTTCCAGAAATGTATATCTGCGGAGTCCAGGTTTGGGCTCAGAATTTGAAGTGATCCTCCAGGCATGGATTTAGAGGGGAGCATATATTGCCATATCTCAACAACCCCCTAAATATTTGTGCCGATAGAGCTCACTGATTATACCCTTCTCCCAAAAATTTGCCAGTAAATTTACAAGTTTTTATATGTTTTGAAAGAATAGTCCGATAACTAATATAGTATTTTTAACTCCATCCATCCATTTATAGTGAAGATGCATTACTTTCAGGGGGCTATGGCCCCAGAACCCCAAATAAGGCTTTGCCACTTGACATGGGTAGATTCAACAAAGAAAGGGTTTTTCTCAAGCCACAAGAAGCCACATCTTAACTGAAAAACTTTGTACACCTGACCTTGGCGTGATCGATATTAGAAGATTAAGGATAAAACAACAGAAACTAGGTACAATCTTTATTGTTAAAAGGGAAAGAATTAGGCAAAGGTGTCTTTTGTTTGAAAATCACACAAAGGGAAAATTACACCTCACTACTCTTCAAACTT